ATATATATATATATATATATATATATATATATATATATATATATATATATATATATATATATATATATATATATATATATATATATTTCCGTGATTTCAGAATTTTTTTTTTTTTTTGCATATTTTGAGGATTCTTGTTGATTGCATTTTTTACAGCTTGTCAAGCACAAGACTGCTGGTGGTGTCCCTTTTTTTTGTGTGTGGGGGGTCTATACGATCGCGCTTACTCCAGCTGGTGGTACAATATTCGGAGGCGGTATCGCCTCTCTGATCCTCTAGTTACTAAAAGCCTTCAGTTCATGTCTACAGAGAACGTCGAAGTTTCATTACTTCCTTCTGTGTTTGTAAGTATTCTTTTTTTTTTTTTTTTTTTTTTGTAACTTGTGTCAATAAAATTGGTTTTTCTTTGAATGTGTTATGTACATATACATGTAGTTGTGTGAGTGTACATTCGTGCATTGATAAACAAAAGCGAAAATTCCACGATTTTTAAATAGATACAGCAACAAACCAAACATGATCTTCAACGACGATGCTACACATTCTGCCATACTTGAGGAAACGATAACGTTTAAGGTAATACTGTGCTTTTGATGAAAAGAGTAAAAACAAAAGACCCGTTCTTTTGATAACTATTTGTATGCCTACTGGTATACTGTGTAGCCTATTAATATGACATTTCTGAATTTAAACACTTTATAATTTATAATTAAGTTATTGCGATTCATTTAAATTACGTGTAGCTTTTGAAATAGACCGTTTTCGTTTCTTTTAAGGGTTTACTTACATGAACTTAGTTTATTCACGACCTATTGTTTACCATATGGATTTTACCTGTATATTATGTTTCGTATCACTATATTATTAAACTTATTTCAGCGTCTCGGTGGAGGGACTATTGTAGAAAATACAACTGGCGATATGCTTCGCAACGTGGAATTCATGAAAAAACTTTCTGAAGAGACGGATGTTCACATTGTAGCTGGAACCGGTACATTTTTACCTAGACAAATCTAAAATTAAGTTTTACTATTTTTGAGTTCTTCAGTAAATGTGTTCTAGTAGTTCAGCGTTAGTTCATAGATAGCAAATTGATATGATCCTAAATTTTGTCGATTTTGAAAATGTCTCTACTCTCCTTTCACCCAGCAGATATTTTGTAACGCAGGTTTCTACTTGGAATCAGTTCACCCCAAGGGTATGGATACCTTTAAGGTGGAGGATATAGTAGAGATGATGAAAATGGACTTTCTGGTCGGATGTGACGGGACAGACATCAAGTGTGGAGTTATAGGAGAAATCGGATGCTCTTGGCCATTACATGGTATACAATAGTGATACAGGTCTAGTTTTCAGATTCAGTTTTAATTTCTTTTTTCATTAGCTTGTCACATGTATTATCTTTTCGTTTATTATTACTGTATTCCATTTTTTCTTTGGGTGTGTGTGGTTGAAGAGGGTGGTCTCATCATGCACAATTGTAAACAATAAAGTAATTGATATTCTTTAAGGATTACTGTGTTTTTCTTATCGACCGGCAGAATTCAGATTTTAACAAAATCCAGACTTCTATTTTAAGAAATGAAGTAATTTAGAATTTTAACTTTCATTTTTTAAAATGAAAGTTCCGTCCCAAAGTTAAGAGCTATTTGTTGCGCTCCAGTAAATGAAAAGAAGTGCCTGTTGGCCACGGGGGAGGCTCAGGCGGAACTTGGCTGTCCTGTTATCATCCACCCTGGGCGCCATAGCCAGTCCCCAGCCGAGGTCGTCCGAATATTACAGGAGGCCGGAGGAAACGCTGAACATACCGTGATGTCACATCTGGACAGTAAGGGACCGTTCACAATGTATTTGTCGACGTAGTTTATGAGCACTAACTCCACGGGGGCTCCGCTGGGCGCTACCAGAATAGACTAGTTAACACGCCTCCTCTTGTTTCCAACGTACTGGTATAATAACCAGGTTTTCTACGTATTCTCTACTCAACGCCAGAACTGTCTTCTCAATTTGTTTCGGATGCTTATGTACATTCTTATGTCAACTACATAGACGCAGTAAACACCTTTTCAAGGCTAATCTTAAATTTACGATCATATCCAAACATCAATTCTACCTAACTAGTTTCAATAATAATGGCACATAAAACAACACATAAATATATTTTCTGTTAGTCAGTTAAAAAAAGACGGTTTGTTTGCCAAATAAGTTTATATGTCCGTCTTATTTCATAAATGATATTCTTTTACATTTACATTTAGGAACTTTCCATAATGACGAGGAACTATTGGAATTCGCGGGACTAAGAACCTATCTAGAATATGATCACTTTGGTATTGAGATAGCGGACTGGCAGTGCGACCCGACCATCGACATGCCAAACGATGGAGAGAGAATACGCAGGATAAAGAAATTGTTTGCCAATGGTTTTAACAAGGTGGTGATCGCACACGACTTGCACGCCAAGCATATGCTGGTTTGTTCATTCAACTCCTTGGTTTATTTAAAAATAATCATGTTTTGGGAAAATTCGTCT